CAAATCCCCCTGGAGTCAGATTTGTTTCATATATGACGTTGGCTTCCAGGTTGATCCAGACTTACATGGATACTGGGTAAAGTCATGGGAAGTAAAGGCAGCCGGCATGACTGTGATCACATCACCCACTGAGGAGAATGGTCTAGTCAAACAGGAGTCTAGCCTCATTTGCCTGATGCACCTTTACTTTTATTTACTCTCTCTCTCTCTCTCTCTCTCTCTCTCTATATATATATATATATATATATATATATATATATATATATATATATATATATATATATATATATATATATATATATATATATATATATATATATATATATATAGAGAGAGAGAGAGAGAGAGAGAGAGAGAGAGAGAGAGAGGGGGGGAGAGAGAGAGATAATAATTTCTGTGTGACAGATCTCTACCTTGGCAGATCTCCACAAAACTTTCCCAATTATTATCTGTTCCACAGGGCCGTGCCTGCCAGAGAGACTAGCAACCATTCTCTCCCAGTTGTCTATGTATATGCCTGACCATTGACATGACAGTTCTCAGACAACCAACTCAGCCAACACCTCCCATAGGCCTGAGCTGCTTCAAAAGCTGTGCTAGGATCTCCTGTCATTCCTTGTTGACCCAGTCCTTCCACTTACAGAGGTCATTTATTTGTAACTGTGCTGCTCTGTGGTTCAGAGATGACCGACATACTTTCAAAATGTAATACTCTAATGTTTCCTAGGGCCTGATTCGTGGGCTGGGTTGTTAAGACAAATACCGCCCACATGGCTTTCACACAGTGGTAGGAGAGTTCCACCATGCAAGAGCTTGAGGCCTCAACATCTAATATCTCCATCTTTAGCAGTGGATTGCAGCCAACCTTCTTTGTGGAAAGGGTACAATATTAGTTTTATTTGTAACCAAACACAGGATGGTTTCAGCCATATCTGATTATTGAACTAGCTAACAATCATAAAACAGAGGGCAGTTTTATTGATTGTTCTAGTAACAATCCACAGTTTCAGCCATATCGTGATTGTTAAACCTAACAATCCAGAGACAGACATATCTGCCATACCTGATTGTTTAAATAGCTAACAATCATAAAACCAGTTGTCCATATGTAAACTAGCTAACCATAAAAACAGACCAGTTTTGGACATATCTGATGTTAAACAGTAACAATCTCACAGTTTCACAACCTGATTATTAAACTAACATCATAAAACAGAGGACAGTTTCAGCCATATCTGGCCTAGCTAACAATCATAAAACAGAGGACAGTTTCAGCCATATCTGATTGTTGAACTAGCTAACAATCAAAAACAGAGGACAGTTTCAGGATCTGATTGTTGAACATTAACAATCATAAAACAGAGGACAGTTCACCATATCTGAGTGAACTAGCTAACATTAAAACAGAGGACAGTTTCAGCCATATTATTTGTAACTAGCTAACAATCATGTTTCAGCCATATCTGATTGTTGAACTAGCTAACAATCATAAAACAGAGGAGAGTTTGAGCCATATCTGATTACTGAAATAGCTAAAAATCAAAATGTTTAATATCTCTATTGTTTAGCTAACAATCATAGGACAGGCCTGATTCGTGGGCTGGGATGTTAACAACAAATACAGGACAGTTTCAGCCACTGATTACTGCTAGCTAACAATCAGTGGTAGGACAGTTTCACCATATCTGATAGTTGAACTAGCCTAACAATCATAAAACAGAGGACAGTTTTAGCCATATCTGATTACTGAAATATCTTTTAGCATAAAAGTGGATTGCAGCCAACCTTCAGCCATATGTGGAAAGGGTATCTGGTTGTTGAACTAGCTAACAATCATAAAACAGAGGACAGTTTCAGCCATATCTGATTGTTGAACTAGCTAACAATCATAAAACAGAGGACAGTTTCAGCCATATCTGCCATACCTGATTGTTAAACTATTTTCAGCCATATCTGCCATACCTGATTGTTAAACTAGCTAACAATCATAAAACAGAGGACAGTTTCAGCCATATCTGCCATACCTGATTGTTAAACTAGCTAACAATCATAAAACAGAGGACAGTTTTGGCCATATCTGATTGTTGAACTAGCTAACAATCATAAAACAGAGGACAGTTTCAGCCATATCTGATTGTTGAACTAGCTAACAATCATAAAACAGAGGACAGTTTCAGCCATATCTGATTGTTGAACTAGCTAACAATCATAAAACAGAGGACAGTTTCAGCCATATCTGATTGTTGAACAAGCTAATAATCATAAAACAGAGGACAGTTTCAGCCATATCTGATGGTTGAACTAGCTAACAATCATAAAACAGAGGACAGTTTCAGCCATATCTGATTGTTGAACAAGCTAATAATCATAAAAAGAGGACAGTTTCAGCCATATCTGATTGTTGAACTAGCTAACAATCATAAAACAGAGGACAGTTTCGGCCATATCTGATTGTTGAACAGTTTAGCCATATCTAGCTAACAATCATAGAACAGAGCCATATCTGCCATCTGATTATTGAACTAACAGCATAAACAGAGGACTCAGCCATATTGTACTGAACTAGCTAACAATCATAAAACAGAGGACAGTTTCAGCTATATCTGATTGTTGAACTAGCTAACAATCATAAAACAGAGGACAGTTTTAGCCATATCTGATTGTTGAACTAGCTAACAATCATAAAACAGAGGACAGTTTCAGCCATATCTGATTACTGAACTAGCTAACAATCATAAAACAGAGGACAGTTTCAGCCATATCTGATTGTTGAACAAGCTAATAATCATGTTTCAGCCTTATCTGGTTGTTGAACTAACAATCATAAAACAGAGGACAGTTTCAGCCATATTTGATAGCTAACAATCATAAAACAGAGGACAGTTTTTGAAATAGCTAACAATCATAAAACAGAGGACAGTTTCAGCTATATCTGATTACCATAAAAAAACAGAGGACAGTTTCAAGCCATATCTGATTGATTGTTTTTGCCAACTAGTTTAACTAGCTAAACAATCATAAAACAGAGGACAGTTTCAGCCATATCTGATTGTTGAACTAGCTAACAATCATAAAACAGAGGACATTTTCAGCCATACTGATTGTTGAACTAGCTAACAATCATAAAACAGAGGACCATTCAGCCATATTGATTTGCATTATATCTAATTGTGAAACTAGCTAACAATCATAAAACAGAGGACAGTTTCAGCCATATCATTGTTGAACTAGCTAACAATCATAAAACAGAGGACATCTAATTTTCAGCCATAACTGAGTTTCAGCCATATCTGATTACTGAACTAGCTAACAATCATAAAACAGAGGACAGTTTCAGCCATATCTGATTGTTGAACTAGCTAACAATCATAAAACAGAGGACAGTTTCAGCCATATCTGATTGTTGAACTAGCTAACAATCATAAAAACAGAGACAGTTTCAGCCATATCTGATTGTTTGAACTAGCTAACAATCTGCCATATCTGATTGTTAAACTAGCTAACAATCATAAAACAGAGGACAGTTTCAGCCATATCTGATTGTTGAACTAGCTAACAATCATAAAACAGAGGACAGTTTCGGCCATATCTGATTGTTGAACTAGCTAATAATCATAAAACAGAGGACAGTTTCGGCCATATCTGATTGTTGAACTAGCTAACAATCATAAAACAGAGGACAGTTTCGGCCATATCTGATTGTTGAACTAGCTAACAATCATAAAACAGAGGACAGTTTCAGCCATATCTGATTGTTGAACTAGCTAACAATCATAAAACAGAGGACAGTTTCAGCCATATCTGATTGTTGAACTAGCTAACAATCATAAATCAGAGGACAGTTTCAGCCATATCTGATTGTTGAACTAGCTAAAACAGCCATATCTGATTGTTGAACTAATGATCATAAAACAGAGTTCGTCAGTTTCAACACTGATTGTTGAATTAGCTAACAATCATAAATCAGAGGACAGTTTCAGCCATATCTGATTGTTGAACTAGCTAACAATCATAAAACACTGTCCCTGTGTTGGTTCGGGGCCCTACTCTGGGGAGAAATAACAGACCCAATGTCCCCCTCAGAAGCGTGTCGTAAAGAGTTGATAATTAAGAATGTTTCCTTTAGGGTCAGAGTGCATCTGCCTGTGAGGTGAGGAACCAACAGTCTGCAGACTAATAAGCCAGTTCTGTCAAATGGATGTGCATGCAAAACTCAGTTTCTGGAACAAAATTAAAGTCCACAAGTGGCTGAACAACCATAACTTTCCGCAACAGTTTACAGCTAATGAAGGCAAAACATAAGAAGAAGAAAACATGGGGAATTCACATAAAGAAAGTGCTACACATTTGATGCAATATGAAAATGAAACTTAACTAAAAAGGCGTAGAAGAGATAACCACAAAAGATAATCATGAAAACCCTCAGGGACTTAGGTGACCATTAATGTTAGTACTATTTACATAAAGATAGCTGGGGAAATAGATTCACAGGCACTGATTAGCACTCACAAAAGGAAAGAAGCAGTGATCACAGGACTCAACAGAAAAGACAAATTGAAAGCTATAGGAGACACACAAGTGTGAACATAGCCTCAAAATGTTGACAAGTGCCTAGTCAGTGGAAGAAGTGTGGTTCAAGTCGCCTGGCCAACTAGACATCCTTAAAATATTGTGTCAGCCATGCTTAAAGTAAACTTGTTCCACCAACAAAAGGCTTCTGTCATTAGATAGCAGGGGGTTCAAACTTGTGTGTCTTAAAGCTTTCTATTATTGTCTCATGCCCTTTGATTTCTACTCCTTCACTTTCATTCTACCAGTGTCAATTAGTCCCTGTGAAATTTATTTCTAATGCTATCTGAAAGCTTCAAGGGTTCCCTATTAAAAAATTAATAAACAAAAACAAGCTAAGCATATGCTCAATGACATTAGCATTGCTGACATCAAGTCGCATATGACAGGTTGAATATTTCTAAGGGGATGGTTGAATGTAGAAAGCTTACTAAAGAGATGTTCCATCATGGCTAGAGGAAGAAACAATAACACAAAAACCAGATGTCAGCACATTTCTATCTGTTTGACATCTTCAATGTGTATGCTGAGCCACATACAATTCAAGCAAGCTACAGCAGCAGAGTGCCTAACATGTTTGCCTGCTCCTCCTGACCTCATTGGGTTCAAATCTTGACGCATGAATTATTTATTTTTGATTAACCCGTGCTAGTAGTTGATCCAGTCTGAAACAGGCACCAAGAAATGATCTGGCAAGTAAAGGTAACCAGAATAATCCTGACCACATCAGCCATCCAGCTAGGATCAGTCTAACAGTATGTGGTATGCATCCACAAGACTGCAGGTGCAATGGGGTCACATTTGTGTATTTATAATGAAGTAATGAAGGTTAAAGAGCAAAAAGTAAACAAACAAAAGCATTCACAAGTGAGACATGCAGATGTAAGTTTTGCTGCCAGAGAGAAATCACCTGTAATTTAATAATAAAATAATGAAATCAAGAAACATGTGCACATAACTCACCATACTTTAGTCTTTCTAAGACTATTCAAATGTTCAAAAAGAATATTTCAGTTATGCTTGTCTTTGTTTAGTGTCTATCTCAAAACGAATATTTCAGTTATGCTTGTCTTTGTTTAGGGTCTATCTTAAAGAGAATATTTCTGTTATGCTTGTCCTTGTTTAGCGTCTATCTCAAAGAGAATATTTCTGTCATGCTTGTCTTTGTTTAATGTCTATCTCAAAGAGAATATTTCTGTTATGCTTGTCTTTGTTTAGCGTCTATCTCAAAGAGAATATTTCTGTCATGCTTGTCTTTGTTTAGCGTCTATCTCAAAGAGAATATTTCTGTCATGCTTGTCTTTGTTTAGCGTCTATCTCAAAGAGAATATTTCTGTCATGCTTGTCTTTGTTTAGCGTCTATCACAAAGAGAATATTTCTGTCATGCTTGTCTTTGTTTAATGTCTATCTCAAAGAGAATATTTTTGTCATGCTTGTCTTTGTTTAATGTCTATCTCAAAGAGAATATTTCGGTTACAGGAGTTTTATGTGTGTGTGTGTGCTTGTGGTGTATATGTGTGCACGCTTGTGTGTGCGCACTTGTGTGTGTGATTGACCTCTAGTGTGGGTGAGCTATCCTGTGAGTGAACTTTCTTGTGGGTTACTCTCCAGTAGGTAAACTCTCTAGCAGCTGACCTTTATTGGGGGTTAGCTCTCTCTCTCTCCTCTTCCCCTCTTGAGTTGGTGTGCTACATTGGGAGTAAGCTTTCTTGTAGCTAAGCACTCTTGCTGGTAAGCATTCCAATATGAACGCAAAACAATTCTAGAAAATTTCTCAGGCTGAATTATATGCTATAAACTGTAAAACTTCCTTTAACTATTACTTTTATAACCGTCAGTTTCTGAAATCTGTCATTTAAAAACAATGTGTGAGTGTCAACAAATATCTGTCTACAGATTACTGTTACACCCTAGTGTATAAAGCTGGAAGTGACCATACTGTTCACTGAAGTTTATATTGATCGTTTTGGATGTATCATTCACTTTCAACAGATTTTATTATAATGTTCGCCCCAAATCCGAAGTGAAATTACATTACTGTACATAGTAAGAAAACATTTCTGTTATCTGTCTGTTCAGTGTTCCATCTCAGCCCTGGTGTGATCTTCCAGACTTCTACTCACTCTGTGTTGCTTCAGTATTTCAATGTAAGGATTCGCTGTTCTATTACACTGTCCATTTAATCCCAGAGAGCTTTCACCATGTCTGCTTTACCACAAAGCAGCTCATACCCCAGAGGAGAGACAGTAGCAAATCTATCAGATTATTTATTACACTGCACACCTGAATATTCTGGAGAGAAAATCCATGATATGTTCCTAAGTTTTATCAAGTGATGCAAGTCATTTTATGTGTTGGAACAACAGTCAAGACATTTGAGAAAAGTTGTCAACAAAACCAGAAGAGACTGAGAGAAATGAAAAGACTAGAACTGCTTGCAGCAATACCCATAGTTAAGTTAACCAAGTAACTAACACTAAGAATGAATGCAATGATGTTGGCAGTGCTAGGATACATCACAGAAGTGGAAACATCAAGAGGCAGAGGGAGATTTGGAACATCACAGAAGTGGAAACATCAAGAGGCAGAGGGAGATTTGGAACATCACAGAAGTGGAAACATCAAGAGGCAGAGGGAGATTTGGAACATCACAGAAGTGGAAACATCAAGAGGCAGAGGGAGATTTGGAACATCACAGAAGTGGAAACATCAAGAGGCAGAGGGAGATTTGGAACATCACAGAAGTGGAAACATCAAGAGGCAGAGGGAGATTTGGAACTACACGGAAGTGGAAACATCAAGAGGCAGAGGGAGATGTGGTACAACACGGAAGTGGAAACATCAAGAGGCAGACTGAGATTAGATGAAGATGGATGAAAGCATCACTGACAGCCAGACCTGACAACTTATAGCAGGCCAACCAACTGAGCGTACACTAGCTGGGCTACCTATCATCTGCTAAATAAAGGATAGAATACATCTACAGTCACAACACTGCAGTCATCACTAGAGAGGACACCTCGTCACTCAGATATCAGATAAATGGCACATGTGAAAGTCAAGGAACAGTTCACTGACCAGTCTTGTCCAGCTCATCCTGGTCAGTATAGATGATCTCCTTCTGCATCTGAGTCTCGTACTCCTTGCCAATCTTGTTCATCATCTGCAGCTCTGCTGACAGTTTGTCTGCGGCTTCTTTCTTCTTGCGGTTGTTGAACCATCCAG